CCCCAAAACCCCAAAACCCCAAAACCCCATCGTAAGTTCTAGAAGTTGAAAATACATCAATATCGAAATTGATGTTTATGAAATAAACCTAAAGAGCAAAATAAGTTCAATAAAATTATCTTAAAACTAGCTAATCCTAAAATTCCACCCGTTCTCTAAAACTAGACCCAAAACTAATTAATCAGATCCTTCAACCAACTTAGTGTTATTCTGTCAGAGGTTCGTTTCGTTCACTAACCGCACTGATGTGGGAGAGGTCATGAGCAGCCAACAGTTCATTTATTTTAGATACTGAGATCTTACAGCCGATAACACTAATGGCGTTGAGGGAGTTCTTGAAAGAACAATTCTTAATAGCCACTATAATCTTCTCGAATCTGGCTGGGTACTTGTCCCATCCTTCAGAGCACCAGTCGCCTCCACAATAGCAAAAACTAAGATACTGGAGTTTTGCCTGAGCCGGAGTGGAGAAGTCCAAAGAGCCTGAAGTTGAAATTTTGCTATAACGGATAATCAACCTTTCAGAGTTCACACAAGCCTTCACAATCTGGCTCAGGTCGCTTGCATCAACTATCAAGTTTTTCAAATAAACCTCTTTGGTGACATTGACAAACAGCTTTTGCATGCCTTCCTCGTAAAACTTTACCTTTACAGCTTCACTTCCTTTTGATCCAAGATAGCTGTGGTTAAATGAAAGTAGTCTGAGGGAGGACTGGCTGCAGTTCTTAAGGAAGCCATTAAGAACATGGTCTTCATTGGAGATGTTATCAATCTGGAGCCTGTTCATATCTCCCAAAGAGTATTTGCATGCTCCCATTGCTTTGGCTAAGTTCTTGGATTTATCTATTGACATGTCGAGTTTTAATTCTTTAGATTCAGAGTTGAAGTCCGGACAGATATTTTTGTATAAGCCTTTGATGTATTCCTTCGTTTCTTCAAGCTCAGATTCGCTTTCTTTCAGTTCTATAAGTGCGATCTTAATCAAGGATTACCTTCGCAAATTTTGGATATCTCTGCCTGATCTTCGAGGTGTTGCTTTCTCGACTGCTCAAGCTCTGTATTCTTGGCATCATTCAGATCTTTCAGGCTCTGGATCTCGTCTTTCAATTCTTCTGTAAGTCTAGCCTTGCACTGTTGCTCAAATTGCCTTGATTTGGAGTAGAACTTCTTGTCCATCAGCTCCACATTTTCTTTGATCACAGCATCAATCTTCTTTTTTACCTTGGTAGGAGATGATAAGTCTAAGCTTGATAAAGAAGAGCTTACAATCATCGATCTTGGGCAGACTGTACAGGCTGGCATCTCTTAAAGTTGAAAAGTAAAGAATATCTTTTACGAAGTTGCTGTCGGACATCTGGATTTGAACCCTAAAGAAATCAACAAGTTTAAGCTAAAACCCAAAGATATGAGTCTGCCAATTAACAAGCAGGGAAGAACATACTGTTTAATCTGAGACTGGAGAGTATCAAATTGCTCGTAATGGTCGTGAGTAATTGCATCTTTTATTTTCTTTTCGATCTCAACGAGGCTATCTTGAAAATCTTTCAGTACATCGCCAATATTAGAGTCATATGTTCCCAGACCGTTCTCTGTTGTGAGCTTGGATAGTCTCTTCACAAATCTTTTGACCTCAATCACATTGATCCTGATATCGGTGAGATCTTGGATTATGACGAGCTCGCATTTGAAATGCATATTGTTTGCACAGCCTTTGCATGTGAACATTTGATGGGTTCTGCAGAAGTACTCTCCAAGGCTCTTGCATGCAGGGTCGCTGCACTGAAACCTATTGCAAATTAGCATATATATGCCAGAAGGATTGAATCCTGGATTGGCATCACCTACTTTTTGGGAGTAGCATTTGAGGAATCCATATTTATAAATAAAATCTAATAATTAAGATAGGTAAGTTCAACTGTGATTTATACCTGTGGGGTTTTGGGGTTTTGGGGTTTTGGGG